CTTGGCTTCTTGTAGGGTGACCACACCGACTCTACTCTTCCCCTACTTCTTGTTTCTTCAGCAACAGACATAAGTTTCACCATATTCGTTCATGTCACTTTTTACCACTTAATGGTCAAATAGTTATCTCTTAGTACATGATACGGGTAAGTGGAAGAATCTGACTAGTTACTAAATTATATAGAAGGCAGAGTTCTTAGGATGTCTGTTTTTAATCTGATTTCCTTTTATTGTTTTCTTTAAGATGAAATCCTTTTTAAATTCATTTCCAGCAGGCTTGTTAGATTTCACTTTTCATTTATACAGAATCCATTGAAGGTAAAGTAGTTCACAGCTGGAAGTTCCGTGTGATATACTTCAGTGACTTTCCATTGCCTTCATGAAAAAGTCCACACTCTCGGAATTCAAAGAGGCATTGACCTTGGCCTGTTTCTCTTCTCATATTTTCAGCTGCCTCTCTTCCTAAACCTGCTGTTCTAACCAGACAGTCCCAATTGTCTCTCCTGTTTCTTTGCCTTGGTAGTTTTGCTTATGCTCCACCCCAGTAAGGGAACTTCTCCACGTTACTCTTCACTTATCCAGGTGCTTTCTGGTCTGCAATCTCTTTGCCCAGGGACTCCTGTTCCTTGTGGCTCCTTCTCCCACCACCAAATTCCTGTAACATTATGTATATTATTTATTTGGTTATTAAACCTCTGTGGTTTATGGGTTTTTTAGAAAATTGAATCGGTCTATTGCTGCAATTTCATGTATGTGCACACTGTCTCCTCCAAAGAATGATAAGCATCTTGAAAGCAGATGCTATGTCATATGACCTTTGTATTCTCACTGCATAGCACAGTGTCTGGCCAATGGAGATATTTGTAATTGTTTGTTAAAAAAAAAAAATTCTTAACATTTCTGAGCTTAGGAATATGGTGGTTCTGTTGATGGTGACAAAGAGACTGACATTAGGGGATTGGCTTTTTTGTGTGAGGGTGTTCAAGTGATAGCAGAAATATTGCCTAGATGCTGAAGATGGACACTTTATTGAGAGTGCATATTTATAAATGCATCCTTGACGGTGACTGACGTACAGGTAGTATTTCAGGACATAATGGGAGACGACTTTTTGAAGAAAGGAGATGTTATTGGAAGAATCAGAACCTCCAGAATACAGTGTAACCTAGAAACGTAGGACAAGAAAAGGAAAAAGAAGTGGTAGAAGGAGATACATTATACACCTAATAATATTACTTCCAGCATCGAGCTCAAAGTGTCCCATGGAGTAGGGTACTGTGTGAATAAATGGAAGTAGGAAGAAAACTGAGGTAGTGTGGGAAATGAAATCTAGGTCTGATGCTAACTCTCGTGAGCTTTGATCATTACTACCCAACTTCACTTATAATTATGAGGAATTTAAACTGAAGAGAAATTCTCTATTATGTGGAATAATCAGAAAAGTCATTAGGAGCAATGCTGTTGCTTTGTTTCTTTCTTGTTGTAATGCTAATTTTATAAACCACATTGGATAAAACACATCATATGTATGATTCGAATGTTACAATACTCCTAGCAGGTATATTTGAATAAATAAATTTGAGGAATAAATATATACAAAATAAAGGACAGCAGTGTCAGGCCTGATATGATAACTCTTTTCTGTACAGATTTACTTAAACTATTAGATTGAAACATACAAAATTGTTCATTTTTAACCATTTTTTACTACATAAAAGACTGTTTCATGTGGTTCAACCTCCGGTTCTGTGTTCTAGGCCACTCCCCCAAAGCTGTGTCCTCACAGTATATTATGTCCACAAAGGGGCTGTATGCCCACAAAGTCCAATTGAAGACTGTAGCAGAGAAGCATGTACGCAGTAGTTCCTCCTTGTCCATGATTTCACTTTTTGAGGTTTCAGTTACAGTCAGTTGTGGTCCAAAAATATTACATGGAACATTCCAGAAATAAACAATTCATAAATTTTATGCTGTTCTGAGTAGTGTGATGAAATCCCATGCCCTCCCGCTCTGTCGAGCCTGAAATGAGATGTGAATCATCCCTTTGTCCAGTGGATCCACACTGTAGTCACTGCCCACCTGTCAGTCACATAGGAGCTGTCTCAGTTACCCAAAAAAAAATAGCCTAGATAGGATTTGGTACTACCCATAAATTCAGGCATCCACTGGGGATCTTGAGAACCTAGTAGTTCCCCATGGATAAGGGACTATGCAGAGCTGGGAATTGAGTTTAGGCTTTTGCTGTTTCCCAGCCCACATTCCAGATTTTATTTTATCCTTGTGGATGTCAAGTCCACGTATTATTCAATGAGATTTAAACTCAGGCTGGTGCAAAGCTTGTAGTCCTAAGTGTCTCAGAGCAAGTGTTTTGACTGAATTGACAGGTCATTTATTGGACCAGTTGTTTTGAGAAGTTGAGAGAAGACTCTGTATTGGACCACACAGCCAAAAGTAGAAACAAAGCAGTGGGAATGCCAAGGCCTTTGTGGGGAGATGTTGCAAGGAATCAGTGAGTGGCAGAGGATGTGAATTGTACAGGCACGTTTGGAGCACTTACTAGAGCTACAGAATTTTCACTCTCTGAAGGCTCCAAATGTCTGATGCTTCTATATTTTGTTTCAGAGTATGTTGGAAAGAGAGTCCCAGGCCACAAGGGCGCTTGTCTGTATCCTTCCTCTTGTTTTTACTTCAACACTCACATGTGACACTAATGGAATACGCTTTCAAGCTAGCAGGACCATCAGTGAAGATTTCATAAGGCTAGCAAAGACTTACTGAGCATCATAGTATATGGCTTAATTTTCTTTCTTTCTTTTTTTTCTTTTAATGAAAGATGAGAGATTCAAATAAATAATACTGGAAAGTCATCTGAGTCATTTTAATTTTTTTTCCATGAGAACTTTTATAAGGGTATATGCAATCCTATCTGCCAGTTAATGAGGATTTTCAGGTTTTTAAATTTTGGAAATCAGAATTAATAAATTCCTGCTGTCATTGTGTTCTTAAACAGTGAAATTCCCTGTACTTTGTTAAAAAAAAAAAAAAAAACAAACCTCTATTTTATCTTCTCATTGTTATTTATTTTTTTAAGGCTCACATTTACTTAATAAAATGAAAGGCATCAAATCTTAGAAAACTGTCATCTCCCTAAACCTTGAATCAGAAAGACTAATTACCTCTTCCCAAGCCAGGCCATACCCTAACAATTATACCAATAAGTTCACCCTACCTGAGAGCCCCCAGGAGGTATGGTTGTGGCTGAGCTGAAAACCTCTGGAACCAGCGGCTGACCCAGACCTTCCTGTCACATGAATCACTTGCCCCCAGAGCCCCTGTTACCAAGTTAACAGGTTTGCTTTCTCACATATCCCTGAGGAATTAGAAGCCTAGTTTCCTGAAGAGAGCTAAAAATACTTTCGACTACTTATCATGCCTTGCTGTGGGCCAGGCAGTGAACTACCTTTCTGTACATTATCTCATTTAATTTTTACAGCTGTGAAAGTTGATGTTTTCTTTACAGATGGGGAAATTAAGACTCAGAGAGGTTAAGTGACATGCTGAGGATTCAGCTAGTAAATGGCAGAGCCAGGTTTACTGACTCTAAAACACAGTAACCTGAGTGGGTGCTGTGAGTATGGGATGCCCAGGGCTCCACGGAAGAGCACAGAAACTGGGAGAAAGGGCCTTGAATACTTGATAAACACCTCCTGTGTGCCAAGGCTTATGGTAGATTTTTAACACATATCTTCTCAGTTAATCCTTCCAACAACTCTGTGAGTTACGCAGTATTACCCCATGTGACCTACTTAGAGAAGCCAAATAACTTTCTGGCCTTTCAGCTGGTTATGTGCCAAGTCTCAAATTTGAACCCAGGTCTGTCTGTGTCTTTTGCTGTTACAATGTTCACCAAAGAAGTTTTTGAAGAAATATAGACCCTTAAACAGTAGCAGAAGAGAAAGACTGATAGGAAGGCAGAGAGATGGCCTGAAAACTTTAGAAATACATCCAGCCTAACAGTTAGGAATTAGCAATATATAATCTTAAACAGCCTGAGAATTTTTAAAAATTATTTTTATTTTACTAAATTTAACCTATTGTTACTAATGCAAAAGGCTTATTGGAAAATAAAATAATATAAAATTAACCTTTCAATTTTACATGAGCATAGAAAAATATTAAGATGGATTTTACTTTTGTCTCATGGTGAATATGACTCAGAAGGTCTTCTGGGATGGAAATGAATTCCCAACATCCAGACAGATAAAGTGGGCAGATAGGCCTCTAATGTTCACCTAGAATGGATCCAGTAAAAGTTAGATGTAGATAAATTGGAGTGCAAGTAACCAGAACTCCTGTTTAATTGAATGTTTTTTAAGTTGAATTTCAGCATAATAAAGCAAACTACAGCCTCCCTCCAGCACCCCACCCCCAAAAGCATTTATCAGGGCTTATTCAGAAAAGTGGCTTGTACTAAACATATATTGAAGTCTTTTTAATCCCCATGGTCTGCTGTTACATAATATTTAGTTAGGGTTGATGTTTGTTGTCAGGACCTGGGGCTACTGAAGAGACTTAGTAACCCCAAAGAAAGATTAAACAATATTGAATATACCAAAGCAAGAAAGAAATTAATACATTTGAAATGTATTCTAAGCCAATGGTGCTTTGGAAGAACTCAGATCAAAGACTCTAGGCTCCAGTCATGCTTCCACGTGGTTGCTTTATGTGTAAACTGGGACAGCCACAGGAAAGGCCCTTCATGGCCCTTTGAACGTGCCACTTCTATAACATTGGTCACTCAAGCCGAGTTGTTGATTTCTTTTTTATGTGTCCTTCCTAATCCTTGAGGGCACGGGTTGTAACTACTTCGTCTTTTCGTGTCCTGAATCTAGCCTGAGTACCTGATACAAAGGTTAACAATAAATGTTGAATAGGTAAATGTTTCTGAAGAAATTTTAAGAAACTAAATGTGTCTTTTCTCTTTTGTCTCATTTCTGTAGCGCCCGACAGCTATAAAGTACAAGATAAGAAAAATGCTTCCAACCGCCCTGCCTCTGCAATTTCAGGACAAAATAACAACCACTCAGGAAATAAACCAGGTATGATGTATTTGCATTTACTGTGGGAAAATAATGGTTATCTTTTACGCCCAAGGCATGCTGACAATTACTTTTATGCCCAAGGCATGCTGACAGTTATTAAGGTTTAATTTGTTTAAATTCAGTTTCCACAAAACTAGAATTTAGGAGAGCTTGGTTTCAGTTCTGTCATCAAACACACACTCCTGCTGGCTTGTATGATATTAAGTCTGAGAACCTCTCAAAGCCAAGCCTTGGTTTTCTCTCTTTAAAATGTAGATTCAAACACATGGCCTGCTTACCTCACAGAGTCATTTTGACAATGAATGACATGGTGTGTGTGGATGCCCTCATTTAATGTCAAGCAGTTTAAAGTGGTAATAATTTTACTATTCTGTTTCAAATGATAGGACACAATTTTTATACCTGTATGTCTAACAGGGATTATTGCATATCTCTTTTGTGACTTTTTCAAAAACTATTTCAAGGAATCTTTACACAGAGCAAAGCTTGTATAGAATTATGGTTTTGTTTACCATTCCTTGCAATGATTATATGCCTATACAGTAATTTCATTTAATAGCCCCTGATTCAGAGTCCCTTTCATTCAGTGATACAAAGAAGCAAAGTCTGTAAATATAATACAAACAATTGAACTGACAATGCAGTTGCTTCCAGATATCCAGTAACCATTGCGTGGCCTGTGGGAGGAATGAATGTACAGTATGATAATAAGAGACAATCAAAGGAAAAGAAAGCAAGCCAAATACCCCACGAGGTTCTTGGAAACCTACTTCATGCTGCTTCCAGACTTAAGCACAGTAAATCAGTGAGAATAAAGATGGAAATAACTAAGTCTGACCATATAGAAAACATTGTACTGTGTTTAGTTTTGCGATTTTTTTTTTCATGTGGAAAAGGTCTTGAACACAACAGATAAATGTGGCTTGTCACTTAGAGGAAAGACAATAACAAGTATTGTTGAAAATATTGCTTAAGCTGCCATTAGCGGAAAATGATGAGCAGTGTCAGAGGAGTTTTAATTAGCAAGCAGAGATTTCCTTAGTCAGCTTGCCTTGTCATTGAGTAATGTATCCATCTGTCTAGCCACCTACCTTCCAGTTACCATCTAATGTTTACTGAGTTCTTTTATGCCTGGAAGCATGAGAGACATACTGTATGAGCAAACAACATGGACCCTGTCCCCATGTAGCTTATTCTAGTGGACCTTGACTTTTATATTCAAGTGTGTCTCCATGGAGGTAGAAGTTCTTTAACATGAAAATCACATTTGTTCGGCCGATGGTGGAAATGGACCTGGTAACTGAGTTCCCCTGGCCACCCAGTGCTGTGTGCTGGGCTGAGGTTATGGCACACTTCGCAGCTGGGCTGGGCGCACAGGGCCAGCAGTTGGTGTTGGTCACGTCAGGCAGCACCAAGGTCCCACTGGAAGTGTGGCTGGCCGTTCTTCGATGTTTTACCTGGCTGCGGCCATGTCAGATTTCTATGTTCCTGTCTCTGAAACTCCTGAATACACGATCCAGTCATCAGGGGGCCCATTTCAGATAATGATGAAGATGGTGTCAAAAATGCTTCTCCTTTGGTTAAAGATTGTGCTCCCAAAGCATTTATAATTTCCTTTAAGTTGGAGACTGACCCCTCCATTGTAATTACTCGAGCTCAGAAGGCTTTGGAAGTGTATCAGCATCAAGCGGTGGTGGCTAATATCCTTCAGTCATGACAGTCCTTTGTGGTTATTATAACCAAAGACTCCGAAACCAAGTTATTGCTATCAGGGGAAGAAACAGAAAAATACATAGAGATAGAAGAGAAGATAGTGGATAATCTTCAGTCTCAACACACAGCTATAATATGTGACAAAAACTGAAGTAAAAAGCCCTTACAGGATCAAAAATTGTCCAGGGCTCTTACAGATGGTGAAAACTGTAATAAAACCTTGCTTTCATATGGACAGAGAAAATAAAGGAAATGGAAACGGCAGTGGTAAGCAGGCAGACATGGTTTGGTATTTGTCTGTTAATGACACGTGATACATTCATCTGAATGTCATCTTGATTTTGAAATTGAACATGAGAACTGTTTCTCACCTTGAAAAAGAAGAGCTTATTGGGAATTATCTATTCCTTAAAATACACATGGGGGCCTGGATATCAGCCTTCTTCATACTATAAAAAGAGGACTATGGATGCATGAATGGTCATGCTTTGGAAATCAAATAATTGTTGAGTGCCTATTGTGTGTCAGGCACTGTGCTGAGCCATGAGGATTAAAAAGATGAATAAACATGTTGTTGTTTTTTTTTAAAAAAGCCACATTTGTTATACAATGAGAATTTAACATAGCTTAATTGTTGGTGCTATATTTCTCTGGTTCTCCCCATCCACCACTGCTTCTAATTTCTACCATTGTTTTTACTGTGCAGTTTATACTTTTATACCCCGATAATTCATTTATTCATTTAGTCTTAGCATCATGAAGGTACTAGGAATATATTATTTATTTCTTTATTTTGAGACAGAGTTTCACTCTTGTTGCCCAGGCTGAAGTGCAATAGCACCATCTCGGCTCCCAGGTTCAAGCGATTCTCCTGCCTCAGCCTCCTGAGTAGCTGGGATTACAGGCATGCACCACCACGCCTGGCTAATTTTGTATTTTTAATAGAGACGGGATTTCTCCATGTTGGTCAGGCTGTTCTCGAACTCCCAACCTTTGGTGATTCGCCCACCTCGGCCTCCCAAAGAGGAATATATTATTAAAAAACATAATCTCTACCCTCCAGTTGACAGTATGATGGACAAACCAATATATTAATAGGTCGTTCTAACACCGAACTACCAGTGTGATGAGAGATTGCACAGTGTATAGAGATCAGAAGCCAGAAAAATCTCTTCCACCCTAACCGGCCATCTCCTTATATACAGTCATTTCATTTACATTGCATAAATCAAGTTAAATAGGGAGACATTTCACTTCTGATTTTGTCTTTTTGAGCATCCCTCTATCTGTTTTCTTATATATACAGATAAGCCAACCTATATAAATGCTCTTGATGCTAAATTTCCTTTCCCCTTTTACCTTTTAGCATTTAAACTCATTAGAAGACTCTAGAACATTTCTTTGATTTAGAACACATGTATTCACATTCAAGTTGTGACTTTTATATTTAAAACACATTATGGCTGGCCAAGCGCTGGTAACTCACACCTGTAATCCCAGCACTTTGGGAGGCCAAGGCAGGTGGATCACCGGAAGCCAGGAGTTTGAAACCAGCCTGGCCAACATGGTGAAACCCCGTCTCTACTAAAAATACAAAAATTAGCTGGACATGGTAGCATGCCTATAACCCCAGCTACTCGGGCGGCTGAGGCAGGCAAATCACTTGAAACCAGGGGGCAGAGGTGACAGTGAGCTGAGATCCACCACAGCACTTCAGCATAGGCAGCAAAGTGGAACTCCATCTCAAAAAAACAAAAACAAAAAGCGAATTTCAGAAGTCCCTTGTGGTGTTTTAGAACTACGAGCACATTATGTTCCGTGTTATGTTGGAAGGGCTATTGCTCTCAAATGTGAATACTTGCACCCAGACCAAAACAGACAGTTTGTACAGTCTGAAGAAGTAGGAGATGGTTCTTCCAAACTCCAAATGATTAGTAGTTTGACTTCCTTAGAAAACTGCATGTTTTCATGGACCTAAGGAAAGCAGATATCCAAATTTAATAAAGATCCCCCTGAATTCCTCTCTTTTTTCTGTCCCCCAACACAAGTCTTTAAAAGAGCCGCTGAAACTTTATTCTGCCTTACTGTTCATAAGTAAATTGCCCTCATAGAGGAGTGCGTGACTTAGGCTCATGCAGCCCTTCTCTGATGCTACATTGTGCAGTTCAAGTGACTGTAGCTGCCGTGGTGTGTGGATGGGCACAGGACTGAGTTAGAGATCTGATGTTATGCCCTCACTCTGACACATATCTGTGCTGTCTTCATTAGTCGTATCTAAATGCTTGGCTAACTCATAGGATCTTTAGGAAGGATAAAGTGATAAAATGTGAAAGTGCTTCATAAAATACAAATTGCTAACAGAAATACAGAAGTACTTACTGTAGAAATACTAGTTGTTACACGTAAGTCATGGCCTAGTGAGTTCTTGAAAAAGCCTTGTCAACTTTGAGAGCTCTTTAGTTAGCGTGACCATACTCTCAGATGTGTGCAAGGTAATCCAGGTTTATGCATGTTGTCACATGAATAGACACAGAATTTTAATGGCACTCCCTTTCACCCTTAACAATGCCTTAGGTTAAATGTCACCCCACATTTGAAACATTGTAGGTAGGAGGTTGAATTGGAGTGCAACTGTGATCTTACTCAAACCTAAACTCTATTCCTCTTAAACCCTTTTTCCTTGTGAGAATCAGTAACTTAATTTTATTCTAACCATGTTAGATCCATTGGAAAACAATATGGAATATACATTATTATGTATATTTCAAGACAGGACCTCACTCTGTCGCCCAGGCCGGAGTGCAGTGGTGCGATCATGGCTCACTGAAGCCTGGATCTCCTAGGCTCAAGTAATCCTCTTACCGCAGCCTTCTGAGTAGCTGGTACCATAAGTATGTACCATCACTCCTGGCTAATTTTTTAAATTTTTGGTGGAGATGAGGTCTCCCTTTTCCAAATGAGCCTGGGCTGGTCTCAAACTCCTGGACTCAAGCAATCCTCCTGCCTTGGCCTCCCAAAATGTTGGGATTATAGGTGTGAGCCTCTGTGCTTGACCTATACATAATTTTTTTTTCTTGAAACACAGTCTTGCTGTCGACCATGCTGGAGTGCAGTGGTGTGATCTCAGCTCACTACAACCCCTACCTCCCAGGTTCAAGCAATTCTCCTGCCTCAGCCTCCCAAGTAGCTTGGAATATAGGCCTGCACCATCGTGCTTGGCTAATTTTTGTATTTTTAGTAGAGACAGGGTTTCTCCGTGTTGCCCAGGCTGGTCTCAAAACTTGACCTGCCAAAGTGCTGGGATTCCAGGTGTGAGCCACTGCACATGGCTGACCTATACATAATTTTAAAGTATTTTCTGTACCTTAATTTGTTTCAGGGAAAAATAATGTAGGGGTGGAAACAAGAAGGGAGGCAATGAATTATAGAAAATTCACTACTGGAATTATTTAATTGTACTTTTTTGGAAACCCATCTTTAAAGATAAATTTTTATCAGTTTTTAGTTATATTTAAATTGCTAGCATTTAAATATTTTACTCTGTTATCAGGTACAAGGTCATTCTTAGTTTTTCCCATTGGTGCATCTTAATAAAAGTTTAAAGATTCTGAGAGTTAGCTAAAATTGTTCGTTGTTTGCTCGTTCATTCTTTCAACAAATACTTACTGAATATCCTTTTCTGCCAAGTACAACCCTAGGCATTGAGAATGCAGCAGGGAACAAAACAGACAAGTCTCTCCTCCTCCCCAGCCCCATGCACAGCCATCTTTAATCTGCCACAGGTGTTAATGACATTCCAGCACCCAAGAGACTTTCATATTAAAAGGAACAGAAGGATGGAAACAACCTACACTGAATAACTTTTTCACTCTACAATTTCAATATTTTCTAATGCCAGGTCTCCAAACAAACCAAAATCATCTAGTATATCACAACCACTACATATCTTGAACTTTACATTTCTTTACTTTCTCAAATCTATTTCCAGATAGGTAGTAATTATTTCAGCACTCATGGTGACAGAAAACCAGGAACTATTGCAGTCCTCCTGAGCGTTGGCCCTATTAACAGCGTTTAAATGTATAAAAGTTTGGTTTTTTACATGTGAACTTACCAAACAAGATGCAGTTTGTTATGTGTGAAGAGTATAATTTTCATATGAAATGATAGCATAGAAATCAGGGAAAAACTAGCACTTCTTGCACTATTTTCAGAATATACATTCAAATATAATGTTCACAGGGAAGCATTATGTTGCATAATTGGGTATTGCCTCATTACTGCAGGAGTACCAGTTATTACTATAACTTGGGGCTGTCAGGATTGGTGTAGGATGCCCAGGGGTGGCATGTGTCCCATATGTTATTAAAGCCTTCTTTTCAAAATTTTGTATGAAATTTAACATGTACTTGAAAGTAAGCTAGACATGTCACATACGTAATGTTGAAATATTGTCTAACAGAATTTCTCAGTGGAATTTTGAAAGTAATTAAACTGCCTGTTTTACGGGCTTTCCATAGTGTGCTCATATGGCTTTTACAAAGTTGATTTTCAACTTTTATAATTAAATAAAAGTTTTTATGAAGCTGGGTATGGCAGCTTATGCCTATAATCCCAGCATTGTGGGAGGCTGAGGCAAGAGGATTACTTGAGGTCAGGAGTTTAAGACCAGGCTTAGCAACATAGTGAGACACTCCCCCCACCAATCTCTACAAATATTTTTTTTCTTTTTTCTATTGTTCCTAGCAAAATGCTTAAATGATGCTGCTGAATATAAAATTAAAAAAAAAAAAATAGCCGAGACCAGACATGGTGGCTCATGCCTATAATCCTAGCACTTTGGGAAGCTGAGGCTGGTGAATCATCTGAGGTCAAGAGTTCGAGACCAGCCTGACCAACGTGGTGAAACCTTGTCTCTACTAAAAATACAAAATTAGCCGGGCCTGTGGGCACATGCCTGTAATCTCACCTACTTTGGAGACTGAAGCAGGAGAATCACTTAAACCTGGGAGGCAGAGATTGCAGTGAGCTGAGATCACACCGTTGCACTTCAGCCTGGGCAGCAAGAGCAAAGAAACTCTGTCTCATTAAAAAAAAAAAAAAAAATTAGCCAAGTGTGGTTGTGCACATCTGTAGTCCCAGCTACTTGGGAGCTGAGGCAAGAGGATAGCTTGAGCTGGGGAGACTGAGTCTGCAATGAGCCATAATCGCACCACAGCATTCCAGCCTGGGTGGCAGAGCAAGATCCTGTTTAAAAGAAAAAAGCCAGGCGCAGTGGCTCACGCCTGTAATCCTAGCACTTTGGGAGGCTGAGGCAGGTAAACCACGAGGTCAAGACATCAAGACCACCCTGGCCAACACGGTGAAACCCCATCTCTACTAAAAAATACAACAATTAGCTGGGCATGGTGGCATGTGCCTGTAGTACCAGCTACTTGGGAGGCTGAGGCAGGAGAATCACTTGAACCTGGGAGGCGGAGATTGCAGTGAGCTGAGATCGCACCACTGCACTCCAGCCTGTCGACAGAAAAAAAAAAAAAATTTTTCATGAGAGAGTAAACCTCTTACTATTTAAGGACTATTAAAGTGATAAGGGTCTTTCTTTTAAGTGACAAAGGTCTTTCTTTTAACTTCATCTTGACTTTTGCCCCAAGTTCTTTCTTTAAAATGCCATTTTGCTATGGTCACCATTTAATTTCACCAAACAAATGACAGCAAACACTTCCTGTGGATGGCTCTTAATAAATTGCCTGAGAGGATCTACATGTCCACTTCCATTTTCTTGTTTCCAAATTAAACATTTTAGGACCAGGAGCCATATTTGCCTATATAAAAAATATGTAGAACTTCATAAATGATTAGGAGATCTGAAAAATATTTATCATAGTGGGCTATTGAAGGGGTCCATTTAACCAATTTTTAAAAACCATCCCCTAGTCTTGTTCACTGTCCACACTGCCTGGTTTATGCAGGCTCCTAAGGGGCTTCTACACAGTTTTTTTTCTTTAAATGTACAAATTCTGTAAAGTTCAAGAGACATTTGGCAGCCTGGGCAACATGGCAAAACCCCATCTCTACAGAACATACAAAAATTAGCTGGTTGTGGCGGTGCACACCTGTGGTCTCAACTACTCAGGAGACTGAGGTGGGAGGATTCACTTGAACCCAGGAGGTCGAGGCTGCAGTGAACCATGATCATGCCATTACACTCTAGCCTGGATGACACGAGACTGTCTCAAAAAAAAAAAAAAAAAAAAAAGACATTTGGGTTACAGGCCTTTAAGTTTATTGCCAAAACACTACTATTTGTCTCTACTGTTTTTTTTTTTTTTTTTTTTTTTTTTTTTTGGAATGTGTGGGTGTGTTGTCCC